AAGCAAAGATCTTAATGCTTACTAAAATGATGACAGTTTACAGCCGTTGTAGCACGTTTATTTTCATACCTTAACTCCCCTCTATACTTATTCATTGTACCCAAAATTACTACAACGCTTAAAACTTCCAGGTGAAATATTCCTCATTGGCAAGCGGTAATCTATAAGCCCTATCAGTGTACCGCTCATAATCAGGCAGTATCCAGTGGTAGAAATCTAACCAGCGATTCGTCATGTACCCCTCTAAGTCAGAGCAAGGTCGGGGCAACGATCAACAAACTTATAGTTGTGAATCATAGAATCATCTATACCGCACCGAAATTCCAAACACCATTTTACTGTGACAACCTTCCACTAACTATTTCCCCTTGTCAGTTTACTTATCGTCTGCCTACACTCATTGGCTCACGCATGTCGTTCATTGGTTGGGTTCCGTCCGATCCACACCAGCTCTTCCCGGGGCGACGTTGAGTTTGATTCATTCTGAACTGCGTTGTCCATCTGGCCATAGCAATCCCGTCCGCCTCCCTTGAGCGGTGCTTCAGTCGCTCTCCATCCCCCAACTGGTTTCCGCTAAACTCAGTCGCTTTGACACCGGCCATTGTTGACTGTTGGGTCAGCACGTGTACTTTTGCCCAGACCAATCCGCTTTTCTCTTGAGCTACACCTAATAAAAGTTCTCTTACATTACTGGCCAAGGTCTCAGGCCAACTTGCTTGAGCGGCCATTTATTGCCCCTCGCCTGTTGGTCCCATATACTTCGTTCCCCCGTTTTATCAACTACCATCATAAAAGTTATCGAATATCAAAATTTTGCAGTGTGCCAACTCTCACAGATCGAATGGATCTATGTATAGAGAACTTTGATAACAGTTGAGCATTTTATGAAACCATTACTGAAGTATTTGACTTCATCTTTCAGTGCAACCCACAAAACATCAGCCGAAAACAAACAGTGAATCGGTTGATGAGACTGTTCCATTCTAATCAACCAATCTATCCCTCGGTTGTTTAGGAGCATCGAAGCAGTTACTCGCTTGTGACCACTTAAACTAAGAGAATGCCATATTTCGGTAGCGCATTTCGAATGCAAACCTTGATCAATGGACTTTAGCCTCTAGCATATTGTGGTGACCTAGTTGTGATGGTAGTATCTGAACAGATCGAGCAGATGGTCCAACCGAGCGAGCCAAATAGCCAATGGGAGGCGGACGCGACGGACCCAGTGACAGGAGTCGGATTGGACGATATTCGTGTGTGATTCACCATTTGTTTAACTAAAGCAAAGGGGGAATCTTATAGACTCAGAAGGGTCCACAATTATGGATTTGAACCTGCAATTTCTATTGATGAGTTTGGCCTGCTAAACATGCTGTAATTTTCGCTTAGCTGTCTGCCGAATAAACACTTGTCCCTGAAGAACTGAGTTCTGTAACATGATGTCGGAGAAGACAAAGACCAACCCCACCGTCGGATCGCGGATGCCGCTTGGATTACTATCGTCTATTCAGATGCCTGTCCCACTGAACGTATATAAACGGAACCTGGCAAGTAATTGGCGTCTATGGAAGAGAAAGTGGAACGATTTCCTTACCTTAGTACGTTTGGACGAACAAACGATGGCGTATCGCTTGATCATGTTTCGACACGCAGCTGGGGATGACGCGTGCCGTGTTCTAAACACATTAGACTACAACAAAGGCGAAGATCCCCATAATTTGGAGACAGTCATTAGAAAATTCAGTGAATTTTGTGAAGGTCAAACCAACGAGACCTACCAGCGCTATCTTTTCTTTTCTCGCAACAGAGGCCCAAACGAATCAGTTGACGCGTACATCTCTGAATTGAAGATTTCGGCAAGATCCTGTAAATTCTGTAAATGATTGGGCGAAAGTCTTATACGCGATCGGATCGTTCTAGGAATCAGTGATGAAAATACAACAAAGCGGCTTTTGCGACAACGCAACTTATCGCTCCAGCAGTGCATTGGTAACATTGAGTCCTCGACAACCTATCAATACCAACAAAAGAAGCTCGCAACAGATACAGCATTGTGCGCTGTTTCCGGAAGCGAAGCAGCTAAGGCTACTAATTTGAGACAGGAGATCTGCAAATTTTGCGCCACGCGACATCCGAGCACCCGCGAACAGTGTCCGGCGTGGGAGGGGGTGGGAATGCGTCAGATGTAGAAAAAGAACCGTTTTGCTCGTTGCTGACAATCAACCCATGTGAATGCGATCGTTCTTGACAAGTCCTCTGGAGATGCAAAATATTCTTTTGGCAGTGTCTCGGAGGGTAGCGTAAAATGTGTCTACCTAAGTCTTTTGATCTAAGGCAAAGTCGTACGATTCTAGTTAGACACAGATGCTGCTGTCAACATTGTAACAAGGAAACCCTGTCCCGACGTGCGCATTCAATCCGATCAAGGTTGCCTGCGCATGTGGAATGATTCCAAACTTCATCCGAATGGCTGAGCTACAATCGAAGTGGTTAAAACAAAGGATGGAACCTCACATAGACTGGAGCTTGTGATGGTGGAGGAGGAGCTCATGCCGATTCTCGGCATTGATTCGATCCAGTCCCTCGGTTTTGTTGTTTTTAAGCATGACCGTTTTGTGCATGTTTGCCAGGGGGGAACTGCTATTAGTGACCAGTATCCGTCTGTGTTTATCCCAGGTTTGGGTAATTATGCGAGAACCGCTCATTTGTCCTCAGATCCTTTGGTACGACTGAGAGCGCTACCGACTAGGAGAGTTCCATTTACACTGCATGACAGGTTCTCCGCAGAATTGAGCAAATTAATAAGAGAGAGCATGCTTGCCAAAGTCCACTAGCCAACCGACTGCGTTAGTCAGATCGCAGCCAATACTAAGTAGACCGGCGGACTGCTAGTGTGTATTGACCCAAAACCGCTGAATGAGGCCTTGCGTAGAAAGCATTACGCTCTACCTACCTAAGAAGACATTTGCTCCGTTTGGCCAAAGCTAAGTGTTTCACGAAGCTAAACCTCTGTTCGGTATTGTGACACGTAGTTTTAGAGGATGGATCCAGTTTCCCTGCTACATTTGCAACACCATTCGGGCGTTATCGTTGGCTGCGTTTACCCTTTGGGTTGAAGGTGTCGAGTGAAATTTTTCGAAAGCTATTGGCGCAAGCGGTAGACGCTTTAGATGGTGTAACGTGTATGGCAGATGATGTTTTGATCAATGGCACGACAAGAGAAGGGCATGGCCCTAATCTCCACCGTTTCTTACAGCGTTGTGTGCAAAATGAAGAATTTTGGAAATAAGAGGTGATTTTCCATGGGCATTTGCTAACAACCCAAGGGCTCAGATTCTATGCAGGAAAAAGTAAGTCAATTCGAGAGATGCCGCCTTCTAATGACTTGTAAAGAATGCATCGCTTAAAAGGTATGGTGAATTACCTGACCCTATTTATGCCAAGACGCGCTGATATCATGACGCCGAGCAGGCAGTTAACTCAAAAAGGAGTAAAGTGGCGTTGGGGAAAATAACAGGAAACTGCATTCGAAACTATTAAGCACCTCATCAGCAACGCGCCTGTACTCGAGTATTACGATCCAACGCAGCCTTTGGAGGTACCGTGTGACAGTAGCCAAGACGAAATATTTGCCGTTCTCTTACAGGTTGGAAAAAGTTTGGATTTCCGCAGTCGAGCACTCACCATGACCGATCAGCGCTATACGCGTTTTGAGAAGGAGCTACTTGCCACAGTCTATGCCATGGAGCGTTTCAACGATTATACTTTTGGAAGAAAGACCACGTTGTATACTGACCATAAACCGCTTGTGTCAAAAGCCAGCAAACCGTTGCACTTCGTTCCTCGTCACCTTCAGTGTATGCTTATCCCTCCTCAAAAGTATGACGTGAATAAAGTGTATACGTCCGGGGCATAGATGTTCATCGCGGATACGCCGTCAAGAACTCATTTGGGTTCAACCAGTACCCGAGTGTCAATAGCAGTGGAAAAAAAGGTGTGGTGACTGCGAGGGTCCGTGTCAGGTCATACGAAATAAACGTTGGAAGGAAAAGGTTCAGAAGAAATCGCGTGCACTTGCGACGACACCGGAGGCAACAATGTGGATTGGGGGTGGAGTGGCGGATGGCGTGGGGCAAGCAGACCATGACCGCAGATACAGGGAAGAAGACGCGGAGTGACAAGGTGTATGGGCTGAATGGCAATATGGAGGCGCAAGAACACGAAAAAGGGAGGATGTGATAGTAGTTACAGATCAGAGTGAGCAGGTGGACCAACCGAGCAAGCCAAACAGCTAATGGGAGGCGGACGTGACGGATCCGATGACAGGACTCGGATTGGAGGATATTCGTGTGAGTGATGAACCGTTTGTTTAACTGAAGCAAAGGAGGAATCTCATCTACTCAGGAGGGTCCACAGTTATGGACTTGAACCTGCAATTTCTATTGACGAGTTTGGCTTGCTAAACATGCTGCAATTTTCGCTTAGCTGTCTTTGCTGAATAAAAGCTGGTCATTGGTTGTTAGTAAAAATCTTGCAGTGACCCGCTGGGTAAAATTCTGTGGGTATGCATGCTTACATTCAGTTAAGGAAAAAGATTTACTTCAAAATCTACTGTCAAATTTATTTACAATGCTTCTAGGCCCGTATGGTTCACAGTAATTCAGATCGGCCGGAATATTAGTGAACTTCACCGTACCAATGGACAGGAAGCAGGATTCGAAGGACACGGCACCATCTTCAATGTTCTGGTTATACAGTAACGTTGTGGGTCCGTCGGACTTCGTTCAAGAAGCTCTAGCTCCAAGCAGAAAATCGGCGATATGCTGAGCTAGAAAGTGTTGCATCTACCTGACTGAAAAGGCAGGCTTACCTGAACGTGAAAGTTTATTATCGGATTCTTGGAAAAATTGCGGACCACGGACAACACGCTGACGCCGTCCCTAGTCAAAAAATGGTACTCATTTTGCGCGTCGACAGCAAGCTTGATCTGTGAAATGAAGTTACTTGCCTGTGGCGAACTGAAAACTTACGTAAGCGCGCGTTTGCATAGCTACGGTGAGTGCCTTTCTGCAAGAGATTGATGATGATTTAATGCAGTTGCTAGATCCAGTGGAACAAAGTGTCGTCTGTTCACTCACTTGAACCTCAGTTAGTCTATCCTCATTAATATCAGGGACCACGTAGTCGGTGGTTAGAGGAATTGATGTTAGTGTGGCGGAGGTGGAGTTATTTGTTCCTGTGGATATCTCAGTGAATGGAATGGAAGTCGAACGGGTATCCTCCGGTACTGGCGTGGACCGCCGTGTAGGTTGGAGTAATGTGGTTTCGCCCGTTTCTGTTGCTGTTCTTGGGCTCCTAGTAGAGACATCTGATGACAATGTGGAGTAGAAATACTGTTCGGTTGTAGAGGAGCTTTTGTATTCTGAGGTATACTTGATTTCATCTTTCCAAGAAACCTTACTTTCCATTTCACTAGTACTACCCTTACTAAGCGCGGCAGCGGAGGACGATGAAGGTGATGTTTGGTTCGGTATGAACATAGACACCACGCTTCCAGAAGTGCTCTCTGGTACTCCACTCTGAATAACTGTAGTTAATGGGGCCTCCGTTGCATTTTCACCTGGTTCGAACTCAGACATCCAAGTCGAATAAACGTACTCTGAGGTGAAATCAGACAACGTAGACTGCGAATAATGCTGATCCTCTACATCGTCAGAGATTTCAGTCTCCGCTGTGACCTTTGAAGAATCAATCATTGCACACTTAGTGGGCATTGTCAATCCAACATGCCCTGTTGTGGAACTCACTTCCGTTTGTGGAATAGCGGTACCATCTGAGTCGCCGGCGGTTCTATCTTCATCTGAGTTGATGGTTGATGTCTTAGTCGGCTCAGTGTTCGAAGCTAACATCGACTGTGTATATTTTGGGGATTCGGATTCAGAGTTGCCGATTTCCGTGATTGTGATGGTGGTGCTAGTGGTGGCTATTGGGTTACCATCCATTTCGACATCAGTGGACGACACTTTCTGTGTTTGCTTTGTTACGTATTGGGAACCATCGTGTTCAGCAGTTTTCTCTGGCACATCGCTCACAAAGACATCTGTACTTGGCGCATTAGTTATATTCTCACTAAATTCGTGTTCAGAATCCACTGATGAGTCCGCATGTTTTGAAGTAGAATCCGGTTCTACGTACTGAGTTTTCTTATTTTCAAATACGTCAGAGACCGTGCTTGAGTATGCGAGCGTCATATTAGACTCATTAGACGCTGGTATTTCTGTGGTGGACCCCTGTGTGATACTGCCAGAAATGGGTGTATCACTACCTTCGGTCACTTTGGTGTCAGTGATGGAATTCTCGCAGGTACCAGTTGAGTCACATCCCCCCAGTCGTACATTCACTTTGAAATCAGTATTCACAGAGGCGGGCCCCTCTCTGAAATGATGTTGAACGCGGAGTACATTGCATTGCGAAGTTGCACACATCAACAGAACTATGATTATCGCGATCCGCATTGCTACAAGGTAAAGAAGCAAAGATTAGATTGGAAATTATGAAAGGGGTAAACGGTGGTGAGTACTGCATAACTTGCAATGCAACCCAAAAGACATTTTCCAAGTTCCACCTCAGCTCAGTTTATCTCCATCTGATGAGCTCAAACGAGGACAAAACCTGTCATGTAGTGCCATTGTTGGGATCAGCAACACCGAAAAACCACAAGAAACAGGCCTTATAGACAGCCACTAGTTAAGTGGCACGTGGCATACCGTACTGAAATAGGCAGACAGTTTAAGATCTAGCTGCTTGTCATATGCCATCTAGAGTCTATTCAACGTCTAGCATAGAAAAATACTTGCGGGTACAACAGACTTACGTGCACTGTTTATTTTAAAAGCTTGATAAACGTTAAATGGCCAGTGCACTAACTTACACTTATCTCGTATTTATAGGTCAGCCGCCAAGTGCTAACTACTCACGAACGGTTGATTTGTCCTCTACAAAAAGTTCACAAAGTACGGGTACACCTTGTGTCGCTGCGCCGGTGCTCAAAACAATGAAGCCCTATTTTCGTCCTGTGCGTTCAGCGTGTCTCATGAACAGTAATTCTGCATTACAAATTCTTGAATACAGGCCATTGGCATCCGGTGCAGTAAAACCTGACTCTAAATTTGGATACCGCACCATTCTTTCAGGTCTACCAAAACAGGCACACCTTACTAGGAATACCTAATCAGTGGTCTGCTTACATCCGCACATAGGTAAATAAGGGGTTCGCTTTTCACTCGGCATCGCGTTAAGATCTGAGTTTGTTACGGTTGCTTGGAATCTCATGAATGATCGCTACGGACTGTAACTGGAACCGTTACATGCTTTAAAATTTGCATTATCTAGTTGTCAAAACTAGCCGACCGTGCCGATACAAACTAAGCGTTACCAACCCCTTAGATGAATATATTCACCAATGTTCCCAACTGTAAACTCGCATGTGAGTGAGAACTTCCTTACTAGATAAACCTTCCAGTGAATTGAAATGGCTAGCTTGGCTAGACAGTAAAACAAGTACTTTATTAAATGATTTAAAAATGCTATTGATTAAGCCATTTCATGCCTGTCGTCATAGCTCCAACAGCTCTTAGTGACTAAGCACGAAATATACCATTGGAGAATTAAAGGTCCTCAGTATATTACTATATATGTTATTCGCTACTGTAACGGTAGACAGCATGGTTGTGTACAGACTCGCTGCGCTCAAAGGATAATTTCCAAAACAGTGCCCTCCGCTTCCCCCAAAACGGAATCACGTTAAGCAACTTAGTAAGCCTTTCTCAGTTTCCTTAACAGGCGATTATTAATAACTGTCCGAAGACAGGGACCTATGTCTTGATATAAAATGCAATCAAGTAGCAAAAGCGTGGTGCGGAAATTTATAATGTTTTATGCCTCTTTAACCGAACAATTTGCACTCACTCCCATGGGCGATAACAGTACTATCGAACTTACGTGTAAACCCTTATGATAATTGGTGAGCTATCCCATTCGCTTGATTCGTGCTTGTTGGAAAGTGTTTCCTAGTACTGACACATTACGTACAAGCTTGACGTCTGGTCTGAGCTGTATCTATGCAAGAGGAATAGACGTTAACACGAATGGTGTATGGCAGACACGGAGGACTATTAATATGGAATTTTGCCCCTTCCATACTTAACAAAACATTGTGGTATCACGTAAATGAGCCGAGATTTCTTGTGAGGATTGGGTTTTTGACCGGAATAGAGCAACACAAATTAAGCGTGAACACACCCAAATGCTGTCGAATCCTACTAGAATGCGGTCCCTGACTTTAACTTAATGGTAGGTATGCAACCATAAAAGCACTGTTCTTTCGCATATTCCGAGTCCTTTTTAAGTAATAGGGCTAAATTACACCTGACCAACAATCACCTTCCCATTCACCAATTAATTCATCGCCATCGAGTTCTTTGATCACTCATGCATCATCACTCACAGGTCATCATACCATTAAAATTTTTAATTTATTTATATTAATCTTTGAAAATCTTTCCGTTGCTATCTATTGACTTGGTTCCTTGGTCTTCTCTGAACCACGGTCATCTTCCTAATTAGGACCTTCAATTTGGTGTCGCGCCGTGCCGTTCTGGTCGGAATATTTTCGTTGCTCCTGACTTTTCAAGTTTTCAGATTCGAATTTCGCACATCGGCCTGGGTACACCCATTCAATCGGGCTCGATCAGCCCTTCCCATTGTGCAAACTTTCTGGAAGATATTATTAACGGATCAGCGCTAACACCGGTTTTCAATTTTGGCTGCGTTTCAGGGTAGTCGTCCACCTACGAGTGCATCACTTTGCTACCTTCGTCAAGGTTCTTGAAGTTATCGGAAAGCTTATTGCGAGGTCTACCACTAGATACCTAAACCAACCCTATCGGTAACTGCATAAGGCGGCTAGAGGCCATTACCTCTTCGTACACCGCCTTCGTCGAACAAGAGCTCTCTCGCCGCATTGTGAATCTCGTTCTATCGAACGCACACAAATCTCTGTCTTGCTGGATTTGTGCATGTGCGCTAATTGGGACTTGCGGCGTAACATGACGCGGCACGCCACGGAGTTGACCTTAGGACTATCTGAGCACAGGGTGTCGATTACTGAAAGACAATCTACCATTGGCAGAATCTGGACAATAGCGCTCTTATATTCGGTTGGTTTGTATCGATCGTTGCATCTGAAACAATAGCCATTTTATAGTATGTCCTAAAATCCTAATCTGTATCCTCGGCGGCTTATTGATACCGATTTGATTTGTAACACTGCGTCCTCTTCAGCCAATTCAGTAACGCATTAGAAATACATAAGTTGCTCTCGTCAGTCGCTACGCAATACAGACAGAACAAACCACGCGGTAATTGTGATTCACACTTGTTAACATAGATAAACAGATAAAATTGTGGTGAATGACGTAATCAGGTCCAAGGCAATCTAATTGATTTCCTTGGTTGTTTCTAGGCACACAGCAAAGGACACTCCAAAGTTATGAGTAGCGACTCGCTAATTACCAAAAACGTCGGGTTCCAGTTGCTCAATAGCATCTTGAATGAATCTTTTGGGTTCACCTATTGACGAGTCATCATTAGATGTTTGGTGATAGACGAGGCAGGGTTCCGGTTCATTCTTTGGTCCACTCCGCCTTGGTTAAACAGCAACTGCCTTAACCACAATGGGAAATGTTCCGCCATCCTTTGAGCTAGCCGGAGACCAGTCTTCCTAGCGTCACCGCAACTGCAAGTGAACTGGTAGATGATGTTAGAGGCCGAACTGATTGGTGATCTACTCGGCCGGCTCTGGAGAGAAATCCTTCGTGTAGTGTGGATAAGTCGTAGTTGGACGGTAGAGTAGGTGCGCGTTAGAGCGGACCTGAGCACGTGACCAACATCAATTGCCGCATGATCCCCCTTGAACGGTACTAAGAAATCAACATCCTTCTCCGCTGTTTGAATTGATGGCTTCTCATTGGGGGGTCTGTTATGGGTCTGAATGAATTTCTTCGGATACCCATTGGCTAGCAAAGCCCGGTATAAAAACCCTTGTTCAGCAATTCTGGACTGCAAATCCGCCTGGCCCTGTAGGGGAATTTTACGAGGCCGCGCTTGTATGCAACTGGGGCGAAGCTGGAAAAATGTAGGTATTGTCCCACCCAGGTCGCTTTTCTGTACACATTGCGTTGCAATGTGTCATCGGTCCTTCTTTTGATGAGCACAACCAGAAACCGTAGTCTGTCATCTTTTTCTTTCTCCTACGATACCGAAAGCTTAAGATGAATTGAGTTCAGAAGGACCCTTCTCCCTGCTAAAATCCAGGACACCAATCCGCATGAGTCAGTGAACTGACCATATGCTATGCCCGCTGCCTTTCGGGTGTATAGTTATTCGATGGCTTTGACTGAGGACCCGGGTCCTATTCCTGTCAGGTGTGGGCGCCCTGTTAGTATCCTAGTCCATCCTCTTCGGATGTTAGGAAGTGGTCGATGGCCCTCTTCCTGTAAAACTTAGCCATGGGAGACAGCAGCTCAACGGGTTATGGGTACATTGCTCGATTGGCGTAGAGCGCGATCGCCGCGCATTGTCTCTGACGAAGGGAGGGCACCTCCGAGTGTTCAATGGTTGGCTAATGCCCGCCTCAAGCCAGGCAGCCCCTCGTCAAATTGGTGTAAACCCGCCAAAATGCACCTGCGTCTGCTCGTGGTCGCAGGTGCAGTCGAAAAAACACATTTGGATCGTTCCAGTATCTCAAATGCCGCGTGTGACCGCCGTCAAACAGATCCCAATCTGTCTCGGCAACAACATTTCCGAGCTGGATCTGCTCCCCACTGCCTTGTGGGTCAGGCTAATGAGTCAAGGAATCCAGGCAGAGACTCTCAAGCAACCCCCCAAACGGCCCCATGCATTGTGCGTTAAGGTATTGAGCCAAGGGTTCCAGGCGGAGTCCCTCAAGCAAACATCTGAAGCACAACCGCCACCTCACCTGCCATCGCCCACCAATGCAATCGTATGGCTGCGCGCAAAGCACTCAGCATCGGGTGCTGGCACGCGCACACACTACTGGACCGGAACTCGAGTGAGCGCCCCGAGCGTCGCACTGCACGCGTCGCGATAGAACTGGCGCGGCACAACATCGATATTGCAACCCACAGGGGAACTCGGTTCGCTGAGCAAGGTACGTTACATGAAGCAGGTGCTGGCTACACATTCTACTGGGTAGGCAACGCCGCCTCAGCACCACATGATCATGGGGTCGGATTTGCAATATCCGATCGCCTCCATGGCATGCTGGTGGGTGAACCAACGCGCATCAGCGCGCGACTGATGACTGTTCGCCTACGACTCGGGAGAGGTAAGTTTGCTACTTTTATAAGCATGTACGGTCCGACCATGTGTTATCCTGATGACATGCGTGATCAATTCTACACTGAGCTATCCTCCGTGATACGGACTGTGCCGAGGAGCGACCGACTATTTCTGCTGGGTGATTTCAACGCGCGCGTTGGGCGTGATGCATCGGCGTGGACAGAGGTTAACCTTCCGCATGGCATTGGTTCAGTGAATGTACACGGTGACAGGCTGCTCTCACT